CTGTACATTTGGCGTATATCACAAACTAATACGATTGGATGAAATCTAAAACGGGCAAGTACATAAACAAGCTCATTTTGCAGTTTAGGGCCACACAAAAGTTGAGAATTCAAGGATTCTCCGTTGTCAGTTTTCATACTGGCATCCATGACTACGCGACACTTAGTGGTACTGCTAGAATCCTTAAGTACAGGATGATGAGGTAAAAAATAATTTGGCTGCGAAAAATCAAAATGATTCAACGTGGCAACCTTTTTCATGTGCCCAAGTTGCTCGTATTCTCTCATGTACTCCGTATAAAGAGCTTTGAGCTTTGGATTTGAATTGAGCTTTTTCTCTAGGGCATAAAATCTTCTTAAAGCCTGAGGGTGTGATTTACCCAAATTAGGACTTCCATTTTTGAATGGCAGGCGCACACTATAACGACCATTTTCCAGCCGGGTGTGCGTTTCTTGATAGTGTTTCTCACAAGCGAGCTCTGCAGGGCTCAACTTTTGAGCTTGAGGTGGCTCTTCTGACCGCCAGAAGCGCTCCATTGTTTCCTGAATAGAAGGAACCGTGCTTGTTAACAAAGAGACCGATGAGTCATGACTTTGATCAAGAGTTGGACCTAAAAGCGCGTCTCCGAAGACTGTAGGCAGGGCCATTGGCATGTTAGGGCCAAGAGAAATCGGTGTCCCAGAAATTAGGGTTGGCATTAAATCAGCGCCAAACAGAATGTCGATTGGGCCTTTGACGTAAAACTCAGGATCCGCCAATTTGAAATTGCGCGCGTAAGTACGCAGCTCACTGGAAACAGGGTGTGACGGAAGTGGAGCTGTAATAGTATCAAGAACATCTACGGAGTGATTCTGTGTCACAAGAATGTTTTCAGATGTCAAGACATTTATTTTGGTGCTCCCGCGTACATTCACTGGTACATCTGAAATGCCGCTCAAAGGGGAGCTTTTAGGATAGCACTTGAGATGCAGCTTCTGAGAAAGTTGCGTTGTGATTATCGTTCTTTGAGCACCGGAGTCCAGAATTCCGCGGACCATGATACTGCGATTCGAATGACCTGAGATTCGAGTCTTAACCGTGGCTAGTAGCACAGTAGTACGAGCAGGGATCGCGTCTGCAACGGTTGTTGCCACAACTGTCGCTGGTTTAGTGGAATCATCGTTTTTGGCATCTGAACTTTCAGTATGGAGCAATGTATTATGAGCTTTAAGGCATACTCGACAAGTCCATGTAGAATTGCACTGGTCGACGGGGTGCGAACGCAGACAATTTTTGCAGAGTCTGTGCTGCTGCGCTATTGAAGAGCGCTCTCGGACCGATTTTTGTAAAAACGCTTCACATTTGAAAACTGGATGAGGTTCTTTACAAAGTGGGCATGGATCGGTCCAATTGTTTGATTTAGATGAGTTGTTTGGTTTTTTCAAACTACTCTTTTTATTAGATTTTTTCTGATTTCGTTCATTCGAGTCAGAATTTTCTCTAGTTCCTACTAGAGCTCGAGCATTTTTCTGTTGAGCCTTGGGTTTCGGATTTGAGGAAGAAAGTTCTTCAACCAAAAGAGTTTCCTTTTCAAGAAAATTAATAAGTTCATCAATATTAGGAAACTTGGCATCCTTGCCTCGATAATCTTCAAATCGCTTTTTGAAATAGTGATTCATTTTGCGTAATAACGCCGCAACGAGGAGATGAGGATTTTCTTCTTTGTACCCTAGACCTTCAAGCGCTTGAGTATGCTTGCGGTATTGCGTAAGAAAGGTTGGAATATGCTCTGTTTTGGAAATTTCAGGCAAATCCAAAAGTCCATGTAAGTGATGGACAACGTGTCGTCTCTCGCACTGGTACCTTTTACATAAGAGTTCATGAGCAACATCGTAATTTTGTTCTTTGATGTTAAGTCCTTTTACAAGATCAAGGGCTTCACCGCGAAGTGAGCTTATGAGGTACTGGAAATTTTGTACTGATGATAATTCCGGCAGAGAGTGCACTGTGACGTTAAAAACGTTAAAGAATGAGGTCCAGGTCTCAATTTTTCCTGAGAATTGAGGCAACTCCATTTTCGGAAGTCGTACTGACGCTGCTGATTTTTGAGATGACAAACGTGTTGAATTTGAGTTTT